CTGGGAGTTGAAGTCCACTCATCTTAAACTGGCCAAGTTTGGACAACACTGGTGTAAAGGCTAAGGTGCTGCATTAGAAACCAGCAGACTGCAAATCAGGCATGAAAGCTGCTTGGGTGGTTTTGGGCCAGTCCTCTCACCCAAAAGGTGGTTATTGTGGGGCATATAGGAAGCAGAAGCACTACGTACACCGCCTTGGCTTGTACAAAAGAAAGGTGGAATGTAAATCTAATAATAAATAAAACGATTGGCCGGCTACTATATTGCATCCCACCTTAAACAGATTTCATACCACAATTAACAAAATTTGATTCAGAAGCAGGTTGGGCAGGGGGAATCCCATATAAATTCAGTACCCTTTGCAATGGGTATGAAACCATGACAATGAATTGAAGAACCATTTTGCTGGAGTGAAGGCCCCCAGTCTATTTCCAGGTGGACCAAACTAACTAACAAGGTGCCTGCAGAAAGACCAAGACCGAATCATCTCCTGCTCTCAGCGGCAGCCAACGATCTAAGTCGCCTTTTTAATGCTATTCAAGTAGGCAGTGTGCCAACCTTTCTAGTCGGTCGGTCTTCAGACTCCACCAAAAGTCCTCTTTACAATGGAGTCTGCTGACCTCTTCAGTGTGGTACGTTTGTTGCACTTCTTTGAAAGGTTGACATCATTTATGACTGTTCAGACATAAGCTGACTTGAGAGGGCTTTGCTATAAAACAGGGCTAAAGTAAGAAAGTGCATTTGCGTAATTACGGATGTAAAAATGATTGGGAAAAATACATGAACGCTGGTGCAGTGGAGAAGGTGTTGGACTATTAAGTAGGATGACCCTGGATCTAGAAGCTCCTGAGAGATTTTGAGCCACTCTTTCAACCCAGCCTAACAGGGTTGTTCTTGTGAGGAAAAATAGGTGGCGGGACTGCCATCTACACCACCTTGAGTTCCTAAACAAAAAGTGGGATATAAATGTAATCCTTAAAAAATAATAATAAAAAGGACCTTGAAAAGCTCCAAAAACAACATTTGGCGAATGGGCTTCAAACATGGCAACTTCAGTTCAATATACACAGACGTGAAGCCACGCATGTGGACACAAAAAATACAAACATCCTCTGGATATTAATAGGAGTTGAGCTAACAGTGACTCATCAGAAAAATTATTTGCCAATCAGCTGCTGTAAAAAAAAAAAAAGAGGCACAAGTTCATGCTTGGAATTAAGGAACTTAAACTTGAACTACCAAAATAGTACTGTAATACCTAAACCTCAAATATGTATTTTCCTGGGGTGGCACACCTACCCTGCCCACACCCACTCCAAAGCACCTTTCTGGCTTCAGGTATGAAGTGGTGTTGCACCCTGCCCAGAACAAATCTTAGGTGAGAACACACTTGGCAGGACTGTGCACAACACTGCCTCTTCCGAAGGATATTACAGAGCTTGGAAATATCCGGATGATTAAGTTGGAGCAGCTCCCTAACAAGGAAAGACTATAGCAATCCGGGCCCTTGAATAGGAATGAGGGTAGGCAGAGGTACATCATGCCCAGCATAAAGTATGAAGAGTAATTCCCCCCCCATCTCATATTTGCACTTGAGATCAATCACAGAATTGAAATATAACATTTGATGAAGTATACAGTGAGTCAATTGTGGTAATGGCAGCCAGCGTGACTGTTTTAAAAGGGACTGAAAAGGCTCATGGAAGAGCAGGTAAGCAGAGGCTATTAATACCAATGGTGGTTGACAGCTCTTAATCACAAGCTGCATGCCTTAATTCCTGGTTGCCGGGAAGTTACCCAGGATGGGGCTATTGTCCTTCAGGCCAGGCTCGTGAACTTCCCAGACATCTAATTGGCTACCGTGTGATGTGGCAGATTGGACTAGATGGGCCGGTGGCCTAACCCAGTCAGGTTCTCATGTCCTTATACCAGACACAGCATGTGTGTGTGCTAATTCAGTATATTCTTCTTTTATGCCAGCACCATATTGGGAATTTTTTTAAAAGAATACAAAAACAGCAAAGGGCTGTCAGAAAGGTAAGAATTCTGCCTCACTGTTCCTTCCTGCTGCCGGAGAGGCCAGAAAAGATACTTGTATTTTGGTTGGCCATACTTACTATTTCTAAGCCCATACCGAAGGCCGTAAAATGTATTCAGAACATACTCATCCATTTCAATTGCCAGCTGGGCAAAAGGTTCAGCGAAAGAACCAGAAAGGTTTTTCTTTTCCAGATAAAGAAAAGCAGACTGACTTGTCTTTGCATGTTCCTACAAAACTATCTGGTCAATGAATTACAGAAAGATCATCAAAGACTCTGATGAGTTTAGTTCTTGCTCTTCCAAAGTGCCTCCTCTAGAAAGCCTCAAGTTCCATCCGACTTGTTTTCCTTTATACAATTTTCCCCTTGTCATAATCTCTCTCCAATTCTTGCATCCCTCATTATCACAGATGCTTGAAAAAATCTCCTGTGTAAACCCTTTTGTTTGGGCACATACTTCACAACGAATCCGTGGACCAAGAACTTTTCTTGCCCCTGTTGCACATCTAGGTTAAAAGAGATATGGCTCATAAAACTCTGTTGAAAGAGTCCCTGCCTCACATCAAGTTCACCCACCTGGTATGTGTTGGCCTTGAACACCATCAACACAAACCAAGATGATCAATAAGGACTACAGGAGTAGCAGCCCTACATGTGTGTCATGGTGCTTCTATAACTACTTCTACTTCATTGCTCTCCTCTTGCCTTGACATGCTGAACTGCTAGAGCCCACCTTCTGGATCATCCTCCCAAATCCCGGCCCACCTTCCAAAAGAGGCCCCTTTAGAAAGAAGCCCCAGTTACCATGTCTATTATAACCCAACCAGGCCACTCCCTGAAATCAAAGGGAAAGTCCCATCTGCTTCAACAAGTGAACTGCAACACAAAAAAGCGTAACAGTATGAAAATGAAGATTTATTTGCTTTGGGTTTCCAGGAACAACTCTTTAACGGTTGGACTTGGCCACACGTTCCAGCTCATCCTTCTTCTTGATGGCATAGGAGTTGGAGGAACCCTAGGAACAAGGAGTTACAGTTTAAGCAACCACGCATCCCGCCTGAAGTTGTCACTGAAACATCTATTTTAGTCTCTCCTTCTTTCCCACCCTCCAAACAACTCAGATAAATGAGAGATCCTGCAACAGCTAAAAAAGCCAGTCAGATATCACTATACCAGAAACCTTTATTGTACAATTATCTGATTACATGTCAGACTGTCACCACAGCTATGTTAACATTGTTTGATAGCCATTTAAGAGCTACTTAAAAGCTTAAAAACAATGTGGCTATGTTCCCAGGCGTGGGGGTTGGAAGGTTAGGAGGGCCTGTGAGATGGGTGCTACTATACCACTGGCCATATTTTTTTGGTTACTGATTTGTTTTTGTTTTGCTACTGTTCTTAGTTTATTTCTATTGAGTTTTTAATTCCGTTAGCCGCCCAGGTCACTTTACACGATGGGTGGCTATATACATCGATGAAATCAATCAATAAAATAAATAAATTTCACAAGGCCAGAGTTCTATTGACCACCTCTACTTTTTGTTTACTGCTAATGCCTGCAGGCTACTTGCAATGATAGCTATTTTTGCCAAACAATAAACAGACAGGACTAGAATGAAGGCAGGAAAGATTTGTGCTGCACCTTAAAGCTAATGTTTAATCCAACAAAGATCAGCAACTTTAGGGGCATCATCTCATACAACTGACACAGGCAACCACAAAAACATTAGTATCTTTTTAAATAGCTGAAACCTCACTAATAATTTTGGTGTTCTTGTTTGAAATCCCACGAGATTGTTATTCTTGCTTTAAAACTCACAATGCTTGAGGATACTAAAAAGATTCCAGAAAATTATTTCTCTTTAAGGGTCCCTAAATGCCATTTTGCCACCTCTGTATTACTGGAAAAGCTTTCATAGGCCCAAACCCAAGTAAACAAATGTATCTAATGGAATTTATAGGACTGCTGTGGAGGTCCAATTTAGCGCCACTGCACTGGGCTCCTGCTGGTTCTCCAGAGGACTAGTTAATTCGTTGAACTGGCTCAGATGGGCCAATGACAAAACCTCTTAAGACTGATATCTTTGATTCCTAGGTCTGTGGTCCCTTAAACCCAAGAGCCATTTTCTCTACAGCTCAGCTCAGCTCTCCATTCATTTATTCTTACCTTTGCTGCATTTATCAGCTCATCTGCTAGGCACTCAGCTATGGTTTTTATGTTTCGGAAGGCAGCTTCACGTGCCCCAGTGCAAAGCAACCAGATAGCCTACATGAAGACATAGGAGATATGTTCACAAAAGACTCAAGTGGGTCTACATCAACCTACCCCTCTTGACAAAAACTCCTACCTGATTGACACGACGCAGTGGTGACACATCAACAGCCTGCCTCCTCACTGTGCCAGCTCGACCAATACGCGTGGAGTCCTCACGAGGGCCACTGTTGATGATGGCATTCACCAGGACTTGTAGGGGATTCTGGAACAAAGACCAAGCAGGTTTAATCTATGCCCAAGCCAAGTCTGGGAAAGGATTAAAGAGCCAAAGTTACCCAGAAAATAGCTCAAAATACTTAAATACTTTACAGCCAGTTTCCAGAAGCATGTTCCGCACAAATGATTAGCACCTAAACAATCTGCATATCTAAATTTTAATTTTTACATTTAATTTTTTTTTAACTGAAGTAAGATTTTAATAGGTTATGGGTTCATAAAAAATAACCATAGTTCAAAAATGTAATCATGAATGTAACTAAGTTTATTCTACTATACTTGCTAATACTGAAATCTCTCTAAAACTGCAAGGGCAAAGAATTTGAGGTGATAGAGAAGATTTATGCATGTGAGATTCTCCAACTGTATCTTTAGTTGTAATTGTTCTATAGTTGTATACAAAATTCACTATTCAGGGCAGAGGCATTTGGTGGTAGACTATGTCTGAAACACCACGAACCCTGCTTGTTCTGAAAGACCTACTTTCAGGAAAGTACCAGATCACCTTTGGAACAGTTGGATTAGCAACTTCTGGAAGAAAATGAAACATTCTTGCCCCTGGAACAGACAGTTCAGCACATTCCTAGTTTTCTCCTAAATTACTATAATCTCTTCCTCTGTCATCCATGCCACTAATGAAAAATTCTCCCCACTTCACCCAACCAGAGACTTGCCAATGAATTGTGATTCCCTACATTCCTTTTCTGTTTTGCATTGTTCCAAAGAAAGAGAAAATCCATCTTGCCAATATCAGTTCTTCCCATTTTCTACCATGGATACTCTAGCTCTGTTCTCTAATATTATAGTTTCCTCCTTCTTGTATTAAAACAGACACACAAATGGAACGTTTAGTTGCCAGAATAAAACTCAGAAGAACAGCCTGGGTTACTGTGAGTTACAAATGTTATTATTTCACCAATAAAAGAAACAGCATGAATAGCTATTGTTGAATAGGTTGATTCCTGATACTGGAGAGATTTAGTTGCCCCTGGAAATCAAACTTGACTTGAGGGAATAAATATTTACCCTGAAAATAACCAAACAGAAACAACTACACCATCCCACTGTCTTCACTCATTCACCCAGACCCTGCTGCACAAATACAGCCCTCAACCCAGAAAAACTGTGCACCTGTTATAAAATACTTCTATAACAATTACTTTGCAGCAACTGCTCTGAAGAAAGCAAAGGGAATCAAAGTAACTTTCCTACAACACATCCTATTTGGAACACTATATCAAGAGCTGGCTGAGTCTGATGATAATTTGTGAACATCATGGAAATGGAACTGTCATGGCCAAAATAAACCTACAAACAGTTGGTAGCTTTCCTAAAGCCTATTTCTTTAGCCCTGAACAAGTGCAGAAAAATAACCTTATTTCTGATGCTGTTTAATATTCCTGGAGATCAATAATGATGTTTTTTCTAATAAGGTTTTTCCAATCTCCTCTGCAAGGCTTACATAACTCTGATTTTGAAGGCATTTAAACATCCTGCTAACACTGCATGCCATCATGCACTGATTTCCTTCTTAAACACTGAAGGCAAAACAGAGAGTCATCTAGCATGTATATTATAGATATTGCCTTCAATTTCTACTCTGCACAAGCTGATTTTATAAAACGGTTGCCAAATGGGTGGTTTCAATTTTTCTGCAGCAAATATCCAGCAATTGGTAGTCTTGTTGGATGAGGCAGTGGAAGATTTTTGGACAAGTTTTGGATTTCTTCTTTTTCAGAATCTGGTATTCTACTCTTCTGTTAGGGTTATTATAAATGGAATTACCTCTTGAAAAGGTATTTTGAGGAACTTGCCAAAGATATCCTTTATCTCCTCTTGTTTTTACCCCTGGCCTGCTTTATTTGAAAAATGGATGACCTTTTGGATTATCAGTGGCTGAAGTGAAAAACAAACTGCTATGTCACTGATAATTACATATTTTCTACATCAATATTGGAAGTTTTATGTACTTCCTATAATCTCAACTGTTTGTAAAGTAAAGTAAGGTGGAATAGTTGGGGTTTTAACTGTTGCTTGAATTAAGTATCTGCAAGTAGTTATTCCACTTTGTGGACAATACTCAATTTTAAACTTCAACTAACAAATAGATAATTAAAAATCCCACTGACCTGACAGCGAAAGGTAAATGTTACTTCAAAGTTGATATTTTTTTTAAGGTAGCCCTATGCCAATACCTTTAAATTATTTCAGTAAAGTTGAATACTTCTATTAAAGGCTACAAGATAAATTTGGTAGATGCCTCACATTTCTATCAGTATTGGAATATGTTCTGACTTTTAACTCGGTAATACTTGTTATGGCTAATTAAAGAATATTGCTAAGGTTATTATTTCTTTGTAAGAACTCTGGACTATAGATTTGAACTATCCCGCATCAATGGTTATTGTTGTTTATGATCTTAAGAAAAGACTAATCTTTTTCCCATTTACTGGCACTCAAGCAATCTTTTAAAAAGCATTAACAACTCCATTATGTTGGAAGTATAAAATGATCAGGGACACTTACTCATATGATATGGACATGCCCCACAACTAAGCCATTTTAGTTTAATATTCATGTTTATTTAATAAACATGAATATTAAACTAAAATGGCTCAATTGTGGGGGATGTCCACTTTTGATTTTGTGATAAAGATCAATACAGTTTAAAGTTATGAATCTATTTTTGAACAATGTATCAGAACTTTGGCACTTATGACTATATGGCAGCAAATAAACTACTCTTTAATTCTGGAAAGAGTGTGATGTCAGATTTAAAGCCTTGGATCACTGAAGGGCTTGCTTCCTGTTTATGAACTAGCTCTCTATTGATGTAATGGAAAGACTGATCAATATCAATCCATATGGTCAAGATTTAATAATAAAAATGGTGGCCGACATTCTTCCTTGAGCCGACGAACCACTGAAACTGTGCAATGTTTTCATGAACTGCTGAAAACCACTGAAAATAGGCTGTATATTAAAAATGCCCAGCTTCAGTGGTTCATGAAAATATTGTGTGGCTTCAGCGGTTCATTGGCTCGAGAAAGGAGAACGCCATCTGCCATTTTTAGTACTAGGCAGCCCGTTCGTAAGCATGAGTTCCGGCTTACCTACAGACTCGAGTTAAATACAGACTGTTACCGAACTCAGACTTAGGAACGGAATTTGTTCTTAACCCGAGGACTGTCTGTTCTACAGATATTTCTTTCTAGTAGGTATAACTTCATCTCTCCTTCTCCTGGCCCCCTCCAAGTAATCCCTCATTTCCAAGAGCTATCCTGCTCCATGCCTTAGCATATTCTTTTCTCCCCATGCTTACCTCTCCTGTGAGTAGATGGATGATCTCAAAAGCATGCTTAATGATGCGCACTGTCATGAGCTTCTTGCCATTGTTGCGCCCGTGCATCATCATGGAGTTGGTGAGGCGCTCCACAATGGGGCACTGGGCTTTACGGAAGCGCTTAGCAGCATAGCGCCCAGCACTGTGAGGCAAATACTTAGCATATTTCTCCTTCACAGCAATGTAATCCTACAAAAATACAAGTAAAGAGCCATGCATTAGGAGGCAGAAATATCAGGATGAAACTCTCTTCCAGCCTCAAAGCTAGTCAGAAGGCAACATGAGACTGTAGCCCTGGCTTCAAAACTTCACTCTGCAACTTCTCTTCGCATACCTGCAGGGAGATATCACTGATTTGAACATCATCTGTGCTCCACTTTCCAAACAGCTTGATATCAGGAGTCTCTGCCACAGCAGGGGCTGTCTCCCAGTCAGTCATTCTAGAGACAAAATAAAAAGTGATTAGGTCCTGAATGGGCCTAACTCCCTCCTTCGATAGTTTGCTTCCTCCCTCCTAATATTGACTTTCAGGGAAGACAATTTCAACCAAACCTCTACCCATGCTATGCACAGAAAAAAATTAGTCCAATTATCTTTTCGTGAGATAGAGGAAGTATTAAGTTTGTGAAAAAAACTTAACTGCACAGCTCCAGTTTGTAATCAATACTAATGATGTAAACAAGCTAGCACAAAGAAAGTTACAATGTCCATTTATCCAAATGGCCCATGATTCCTACGTACATGAAAAACATGGTGCACTATATGCTCATTCATTTAACAGAGTTAGGTATCAGGCTACAAGACCCATTATGCCCACAATTCCAGAAGAATAATTGTAGTTGTAAGCTTTATTTACAAATATATGACTATTATGCTCCCTCTTTCCAAGTTCAGGCTTATCAGACAACCCAAATCTTGGTAATGATGTGCATTGTAAAAGAGCACACATTCTACAAAATGTTGATGCTGTCGTTGACCCTGCTTACATAAGTTAGCTGGAGAGACAGGTGGGGATGACTGTAACAGAAGACAGAACTGTGGAGAAAAAGCTGGGGGAAGAACGGGAAATGGCATATAAGGGGACAGAAGGGATGGGTGATAGGAAAAATGCCGCCATACCAATAAGGAAAACGAAGGAAGAGCAATGCAGCAATGCAAGCAACAAGTCAAGCTGAAAATGAAATCTAGGTGGAAAAATGCCAGGAAGTACAACTTCCTTTTGCTCCCAAACGTCTGTCTGTCTTTCTCTCTCAAATGGCTATACTCAGAGCACCTGACTTAAAACAGTTCCTTACTTCCACCCGAAAGCTCATTTTAGAAATTAGGAGGCGCCAAG